CTCACTGGTTTTTTTTGGTGTTATTTTTGCTATTATAAGAGGTTATTTTTAAGTTTGTATTTACAAATTAAATACAGTAACAGTAACTTAAAATGTGCTGATGATCCAGGTATCTATGAACAGGTAAATGGAGACACAAATCATGTTGTACGTATACACTGGAATATCAGCAGTAAAAAAGGAGACCCTTTGGTCCATTCAAACACACGGGTAAATCTCAATATGACCATGACAAGCGAAGAGGAGCAAGGGTCAGGTGTACTATATACTTTCATTTGCATAAAATCCCAGGAACTACAAAGTGATAGTAGTGTGAAAAATCAGAGTCGTGGTTCCCTGGGGACAGGCAGCAGAAAGTAGCATATTCCCTGCTCCAATAGTTTAAAAGCTCATTAGCAAAACCAGTCTAAGACATTTAAGTAAGTTACAGAAACGCCAGGCAAAACGCATTGGAAAAAATCACAGACTATGGATTCTGTATGCAGCAAGTGGATGGAACTCGGTTTTGGAAAGATCTCGGAGCTTTCCGAGATTTCCGGTATGACAGTTTCTCTAACTCTCAAGGAAGATGCTGAGCCACGAGGGGGCGATGCGTCCTTTAGCCCTCAGCCCCTTAGGTGGGAGAACTGAGGATCTTAGCCCCCTCCCTACTGCATCCAAACAAAACCTGAGAGCCGCGTCGCGGTGATGGAAGAACAGGGACGAGTGTATCAGGCGGCCACCGGGATGACTTCAAAGGTCAGAACCATCTCTTCTCTTCCCCAAAAACCTGTTCCGCTAATTGGCACGCGCCCTGCGCAGGAATCCCACTCCGAGAGCCATGCGTCTTACACTGTTTGTGGTCTTCGGGATGCGGTTTCCTGGGGAAGGAACCGCGGAGCCCTGGAGGATCAGAAGTGATCGGCGTGCGTGGCCTTACTCGCGACAGATTGGGGCTGCGAGGCGGCGACGCGCGAGGTCCAGCGTTGCGGTCACGGTGCCAGGGAACAAGGTAAGGGCCGAGCCGGTCGCGCAGGCCCCGTTCTTCCATCTTGCAGTACTTTTGTTGGAATGTGGCCAGACCTCTTCTTTACCATTCTTGCTAGTTATTTTGTGTTGCAACAGCGAAGTAAGCAGTTGTCACAGAGACCTGGGAACCTATAAAGCCCACCTCATTCAATGTCTGGCCTTTTGCAAAAATCCTTCCAAGGAAGTTCCAGCAGCTCACCTTCCTGACTACAGGCTAGTGATGAGCAGCCCACGCCTCCATTCCTTCGTTTAGCAGAACATTCAGAGGGGCCTCATGTGTTTCAAAACCCGAATCCTGGTGTATGTCCCCAGACACCCTTGGCTGTTCCTACGCCATTGGTTACCTCGTGCATTCCAACTCCTAGCCTCTAGGTGGCAGCATCCCCTCCTTCTGGGACTGTAGATTGTCCCTTCCCAGGACAGAACCATCCACTCCAGGCTGTGCAAGGAGCTGACTGTGGGCTGGGCAGGACAGGGCAGGTGCGCCCTCTTTGAGGAGGAGGAGTTGAGAGAGTTTTGTCTGTAGGGCCTCTGCCATATTTGCCTTTCAGGACAGGTTTCAGGGTGGCCAGGTTGTCAGGAGAACCTGCCTTAGTTCAGAAGATTTGCAGAACCCAAGCTGCCAGCTGCTTTGTTTGCTTACCTGGTCTCATCCCTGAGCTTCAGAAAGCTTTCTCCTTCCAACCTGTTCTCTTTCCAAATTATAAGAGCCCAATTACAGTGTTAAATGTTTTTAATTCCCATTAAAACTCTACCACCCCCGCCTTCAGGACTGGGTCAGATCCTCAGCCGAGCCTGCCCACAGGATAAGGTGCCACAGAGGTGCCTCTCTTGAAATGTTTCCCTCTCCTGATTTTCATTTTTCACACAAAACATCATGGCCGCCATGAGTGAGATGATTTTGCAAATACAGAGGTGGCCCAAACCCCATTAATCTCGGTTATTCTAAACCACCACATCATAACATCCTATGTCTACATGCAAATTGATTTTTAAATGGAATGATGAGAACAGGCTTGACAAAAACATATGCACACAATACTGCTGTTACTTTAAAAAACAACAACAAAACCACAGGATGGAGAGATCTGGTCTAACTGAGGCTAATTAAAACCACCTGGGTTATTGGAATAAAATGCAAGTGCAAGGTGCTAAGACCTGCTACTTGTGAGGTTGTGTTAGCACCTATGCGGTCTGCTTGGGGGTGAGTGACCCTCTTTACTGGACTAATCAGTCTACATGAGCTTTTTAAAAATAGGCTTTATTTTTTAGAGCAGTTTCAGGCTCAGGGAAAAATTGAAGGAGAGCGCCAAGAGTTCTCAAACACCCTGAGGATCTCAGCTTTCCAAGGCCCCTCATATGTCTTACTCTTTCCCCGTCTCCAGGACAGAGGGGAGCAGTCACCTGAACTCACCCTGGTTCCAAGGACATGATGGAGGTGGCCCTCTGGCTCCTCCCCTCTTGTGCTGTGCAGGCCTTGCAGAAGGGAGACCCTCTCCCTCTCTTGGGATTTACCTTTCCATCCTTGGCCTGCATTTCTTTAGCTCCATGTGCCCTGTAGAATGGGGCTTTGGCTTTCCTAAAAGGAGGCTATAAGACCTAGACCACAGGTGACATGGCTCACAGGCTCTTTCCAGAATTTGACGACAAAAGCTAGGGATCCTGCTCTACACAGTGCACATGGCCTCAGGGTCACTGTCCTTCTCTGGTTAAGGGGCCCTTGTACACTGCGCTTCCTCCAGCATCCTCCCTGTGCTTTTGTGTGTCTTGCTGTCAGTATTCTTGCATCCCTCTGCACTCCGGGCCATGGTGGCGCCGCAGCTGCTCCTCTGAACAAGTGCAGAGTAAGTTCCAGGACCAGCCAGATGCAGCCCTGCACATACATATACTCCTACATACATGTATACTCATGCATACTCTCGCTTGCACACACACATGCTCATACGCACTACACACTTATGTGTGCTTACACACCTACTCTGGCATCTGAAGCTCCGGACTCACAACTTGAGGAGAGATTAGTGCCTTTACCACGAACCTGCTCCTTCTCTGATGGGGCAATGAGTCCTCTGAAGAGGGCCTGGCTACTTCTAGGAAACAGCTCTTTTTTAGGGCAAAGAGCTCTTTCTTAGTATAGCTCTGAGCTGATTTTATTAAGATTTCAAAATATGTATTCCTTTAAAACAAACATTGAACCATTTCAACTAACCCTAATGCTATTTTGTGGTATGTGTGCAAAATCCCCTCTAGGACTAATGAAATGGGTCACTTTCTTTTAATTAATTATTTTTTGTTTTTTTTTGAGACAAGGTGTCAGTATGTAGTTACGGCTGGCCTTCAACTCACTGTGTAGCCCAGGTTGGCCTCAAACTCACAATAGTCTTCCTGCTTCAGCCTCCCAAGGGTTGGGATTACAGGCATGCACCATCATGCCTAGCTGAAATGAGTCACTTTTTAATTCTCTAATGTTACATCCAGCTGAACCTGTGGCTTGAGGCATGCAATGGCTGTGACAGGGAATTTCCAGAAGGGAGGACTCCAAACTTTCCAGAGAGGGGGCCAGGTTGGATTTCAAAGGAAGATGAACTGAAGGCCATGGTGATTGTCCAAGCCTATGTTAAGGGGACTTTCACAGAGGGCTGCAACTTCCTGAAGATGGACAGCAAGAGAGAGGGATGGTCTACCCAGCTGTGTCTGCAGCAAAGGGGGTTGAGTACGGAGTTCATATAGGGTGAAGAGATTTGCCTCAGGGCCCTGGCCTACTCCTTTCAGTATTGGAGGCAACAACATAAACCCCCTGATTAGTGCCTGAGAACAATTAATGTCCAGCTTGGGTTCAGGCCTGCAGGAAAACCTGCAATTGTCTGGGGGGCAGGGTGCTCAGGGAGCAGAAAGGTAATGAGGGGGTGGAACTGCTGAGCCCCACACTAGCTAGAAAAAAAGGAGTCACCCTTCCTTCGTCATTTTATGTCCTCTTCCTTGTCCTTCACCCGTGCAGCTCCTACGCTGCCACTTCTGCCTCCCAAATGACTTTAATTCATTGGCTACTTTTCTCCATTCTCTCTTGTGACTTTCTCATATCTGTCCCCTCTCCATCCCCATGGTGATTTGCTGGACCTTGCTGGTCCCCGACAACAGAGAGAGTTGCTCTGCCTCCCCTGAGCAGCTCAGGCACCCCAAGGGGAAAGCCTCATCCTCTCCTGAGGTTCCGCGGTGTGTGGTGGGTGGGTGGAACACTGAACCACTGGATTCCCTGCTGTGATTCATGAAACCCATAGGAGGGAGATGCTCCAGAGAGGAGAGTGTGGAGACAGCGAATCAAAAAGAAGCATCAAGAAAATCATGCTGAAAACAGGCTTGAGGGGAGGAGGGTTTTATTGAAAGGACTCACACAGCAATTCTCAGAAGTTGCAGACCCCCAAGGTGAATGGTGTTGCGTGCTTTTATGGGGCCATACCTGGAGGACAGGGTGTAGCGTGTCCAGTAAGAATACCGGTGAAGGGAAGAGACTGCTGAGTTTCCTTTCTGAAGCAGTCAAAGGTCACATGCTGAACGGGTGGGAGATGTGCCCCCTCACTGGCTCTGAGAATGTTTTTGATATGAACACTTGCTTTCCAACTCCCGAAAATACCAGGCCAGAGCTGTGTCTCTAGGCTTTGTGATGAAGGGGTAGTCACTCTCTGGAGCCACTAGGGGTATGCCAGAGCTTCAGATCTTACACTGGCAGCACACAGGGACACAGCAGCTGGACTGGCAGCAGCAGGGCTTGCAACAGCTGGACTCACAGCAGCAGGGCTTGCAGCAGCTGGACTCACAGCAGCTGGATTTACAGACCCCACAGGAGACACAGACCCCCTTAGAGCACCCACAGCCCCCCTTGGAGCACCCACAGGAGCCACAGCCCACTTGGCCACAGCCGGAGCAGGAACAGGCTGGCACACAGCAGCACACAGGCTTGCAGCAGCACACGGGCACACAGCAGCTGGAGCCACAGCCCCCACAGCTGGAGCCACAGCCTCCGGAACAGCCACAGCAGCTCATGGTTCTGGTGTTGGAGATGGAGAGGTCAGAGGAGTGTGTTAGTGAGGGAAGTGTGCAGATGTGCATCCTCTTGTACCTTATATACTTGCATGAGTGAGGTGTGAGCCTGACACATGGTCACTCCTTGGTTCTTGTTTGTGCCACCTCCTGGGAGAAACATTCTAAGTATTTTTAAGGATTTTATAATAAACGTACTTTATGTTTATAAGAAGCCTTTTTATTGTGTTTGCTTTTTTTTCACCTTCTCTAGCACATTGCTTCCCCTGATTGAGCTGAATTCTCTCTGTTCTCCCAAGGGAGATAGAAGCAGAGCCTCCCGGGCCATTGGTCATCACGCTGACATGACTCTTGGTCCTGGAGGTCCATAAACACTCTCAGCAGTGCTCACAAGTCAGGGGACGTCGGATGAGTGCAGAGGGCCCCTGTTAGTCAGGCCAGGCCTACATGGGCAATAGAGCAGGCTCCCCCCGCATTTGCCATTGTAGGCTTCACATCTGGCGGCCAAGCCCTCATTAGCGAGCACAGGGCTGTGCGCTGTGGAAGGAGCAGCCTGCCCATTCTGGGGTGCGTATGAAGCTTCAATGGCCCCGGCTAGATTCACGTCTGACCCAGATAGCCAGAGTGCCCTTCACCATGACTCCTCAAACTCCTGGGAACTGCCAGTGTGGGCTGGCATGAAGTGTGTGCGGGGATCTGCTCCATGTCCCAATTTTCCCTGTGACCAAGGACTCTGGGTCTATGCACTGGCTTCTGTCTGGGAATACAGTGAGAATCTGAGACTCCTTAGAGGGACTGAAATCAGAGTTCTAGTCACTAAACCTAAAGCCTTTTGTTCTGCAGATCAGGTGAAAACCTAGGGAGGGGACTGTGCAGCTTCTGATTTAGTAGCCCACACCAACTTCCTGTGAGACAAACCACTCCCATCTCTACCCTGGATGTGCTGTCCATCGTGGTGGCCGTGCCCGCCACGCCTTTGATGATTTACCTTCCTGATTGCAGGTGTCTAACGGGGGCAGTTTAAGGAACTCTTGCTAGCAGTGTATGTGCTACCATGGGAAATAGGATCGTCAGTGCCTTTAATCTCGTCAGATTAGAGAACCAAGTTTAGAAATCCCAGAGCTAATTCAGAGAACAACCTCAGGATGCTATTCTTCTGCAGCCATGATCTGCACCAGTTGAGTTCAAGCAGAGAAGCAGAACCACAAGAGAAATATGTGTGTGCATGTCTGTGTGTGGATGTGTGCTTTAGTGTGTGTGTACCTACCTGTGTGTTGGCTTACACAGTTTTGGAGGCTGGCTAAACAGTTTCTCCAAGGTTGTCTCCTGGTCTGATGCTGGGCCTTGAAGTCCACAGATAGGCAGTCAGGAGGGAAGATCACAGGAGGCTGAGCCCGGCCGCATGAAATGGAACCCAAGGTGGATGGGCTGAGGTCTGCATCCAGTCCTGTTGCCCTGACTTTGGTGATGAGGATGTCTTGCAGAAGCCATGGCCCCTTGTGAAAGAGTCAAACACACACTTGGCCCAGGAGCCTGAGATGCTGAAAAGCGCCAGGGAAAACGGAGAACAATTGTAGCCCAGCTGCTGCTGCATGGGTGCAGGTAAATGGACACACCAGCTGCATTGCCGGTGCTGTCAAAGCTGCTCTCTCCACCCTCCGGCCATGATGAGAGGACTCACTTCAACAATAGCCTACAAGAAAGGGATTCTGGGAAATGTAGTCCAGCCAAGTGGACACACCACCCACCACCACTACTAGGCACATGCAGTGTCTTAAAACAATACCTTTTACCTACACATTGAAAAATATAAATGGAATGAATAGCAGTTTTATTCACCTTGTCATCCAATTGCTAATTTGATCATCTGTATTCAAGTGACAACTCTGGCTGTCTGATGGAGTGACAATCTTCACAGAATACTATTTTGAGGCTCATTTGACATAGAGACTGAAAAGCAGAAATTCAAAAGGCATTATTAAGATTAACATGCTGTCACCTAGATAATTCAACTTGCACATACTTAAGAAAACATGAGGATCTCAATCTCAATGAGTAGTCATAGTTTCATCTAATGTGACACAACTGTGCTCTGTATGACCAAGACTATGACAAGTATTTTTTCCCCCAGAATAATTTCAGGCCCAGGAAGCAAGCTCATTCTTTTCCTTTGATATCCTTGAACTTAAATACTTAGATATAAAATTTATCATTAGCAATCCTCATTAGATAACAGGAGGACAAAAAAAATCTTGAATCAATGTATATGTGACCATATTCATGTGAAATTAAGAAAAGAATATTCACAGATGTCACTTCCCATTTCTGATCTTATTTTGTGTTTGCAGCTAGCATCTATCACCACTGTCTTCCTCTACTTTTTTTGTGGAAAAAAGGTAAAGCAAAATTTCATAGCAAAATAATAGGAGAATAACAGTAGTTAATACATTACACGCTGTTATCTTTAAAGTAGTTGCTCAGGGTACAAGATATGGGCATAAAAATTTCTCCAATTGATATGAGCACAAACCTGCCTTTTTAATGAACTCAGAGACACTAACACTATAACTGACTTGCATTCTTCCCTTTTCTCTGTTGTCCTTTCCCCTTTTACCCATCCTAGTTCCTTTTTCCTTTTGAACAATTTCTTCCCGTTTCAGTATCTATTGTACATTTTAGACCTTATTTGCTCTTTCAGTTTCTTATACTCGGGAGAGAAGATGTTGTTTACACATATGTGTCTGATTCTTCCTCTACTTTTGTGTATCCCCCTTGTCCTCTGCAAGAACCTCAGCTGGCCCTGGTGTGTGCTCAATGGTGTGATCCCATCTTCACCATGAAGGATGTGGGCCATTCCCAGTCCTGCCTGAATTAGGGAGTTGTGTTTTCCCACTGACTTTAATCACAGGAGTGGTGGTGCTCAGAGAGGTCCAAAGGTTCTCCTGTGGTTCAGACATCCTCGGCTTCACTCCATCTGGGAAGGAGCAGTCCAGTTTCTCTTTGGTGATGAGGGCTGAGAGCCGTAGTCAATACAGTAAACCCCTTCATTGTGTGTTGCATGAGGAGCCAAAGTGGCCAGCCAGTTGCACTGATGTCTAGCTGCACGGAGCTCTCATCTCATGCCCTGTGAAGCGTTGCTCCTTTTGGGGTGAGGACCTCCTGGCCAGCAGAGCATAGCGTCATGATGGTTGGAAACAGAAATTTGGCTAGTAGCTCACTGAGTGGAATGTGGTGGGGTTCAGCGCCCTGCAGTTTTTCAAGCCATGGAAGGTGGCACTGATCTCTGTCATCCCTCAAGGGGAGCAATGTTGCTTTTGGTTTACTGTTTTTACAGGAAGGAGCAGTTCTAGTACTTCCTGTTGTCCTTTAGCACTGTAGTCCTTTCACATGACCAGAAACTCAGTGTGTAGGGACCACTGTGTTTTCACTCAAAGCTTTTGATGGCTTGAGGTTTAAAAATTCATATTCAGTTTATTAGCATTATAATTTTTAAATTTTATTTTTTTTGTGGTACTGGGGATTGAACCCAAGGCCTTTGCATTGAGCTATATCTCTACTCTTATTTTTCTTTGTAAATTTTGAGACAGGATTTCAGTAAGTCACTAAGTTACCCAGACTGGGCTTAAACTTGCTACCTTGTCTCAGCCTCCTCAACTTTTGGGATTACAGGAGTGTACCACCTAGCCTATTTTATTTTATTTTTTTTTGTACCAGGAATTGAACTCAGGACCTTGTGCTTGCCAGACAGTTGCTTGTGCCACTGAGCTATATCCCTGTCCCAACCTGACCCATTTTAAAACTTACTTTTAAAGGCCTTATAAGAACATTTATAAGTAAATATGATATAATATAGATATCAATATTTGTAAAACATAGATACAATTTAACAATCACTGTCAAAGTGGCCTATGATTCAGGCTTTGTCAACTTGAGTTGAAATATCCTAAACTCTCTTAAACTAAATATTCAATCACTGTTACAATTTAGATAAATTACTTTTAACATTTTAAACCACCTGGACAAATAACTTATATTTTATTTACCTTCTTTTGCTGTTATTCCACATCTCTTGTGTGTTCTGCTCCATCTTTTCTCTTTGCTTTGCAGTGAGGGAAGTTTCTATTGATTTATATTCAAGTCCACTGATTCTTCCTCAGCCAGATCCCAGTGTGATAATGAACCATCAGAGGCATTCTTCATTTCCATCACAGGGCTTTTGATTTCTGGGATTTCTGTGGTGATTCTTTCTTAGAATTTCCCAATCTCTCTCACCCATATCTTCTTGCATATTGTCCAGTCTTCCCATGAAATCCCTTAATATATTCATCACAGCTGTTTTGAATTCCTGTCCAATAATTCCAACATCCTGGCCACATCTGGCTGCGATGCTTGCCCTTTGCGCTGTGCACTTTGCCTGCTGTTTGGCTTGTAATATTTTGTTGGAAGTCAGGCTGGAAGTGCAGGGTATAAGGAACTGGACCTAGGCTTTCAGGAAGTGTTGGTGAGGTGTGGGAGGAGAATGACTTCTGGTATTTGCTGTGAGAACCTCAACAGGCTTCTGGAGGAGAAGCTTCTAGAAATATGATCCCTAAAGGCTGGACCCTTACAGCTTCTAACTCGGGCATCCACCCGGCCTCTAGCCATTGCTCAGTTGCAGCACAGACTTCCTGCTCCAGCCCTGGTTCCCATGGAGGCCTCTGCCCCTGTGAGTTGTGAAACTCTGGTCTGTCCTTTGGTGTCTTCAATTTGAGGAGACATCAGCTTGCCTTGTGACCCAGCCCTTTGATGGCTCTAAGAAGAACTGTTAATTTTCAGTTCGTTCAACTTTTTCCTTGCTATGTGGATGGGATAATGAATTTCCAAACTTCTCACATACTGAACTAGAAAGTTTGCCTTTCAAAACTTAATTACTATTTATGTGCTGGGTAAATAAAGCCTATAAAGATAATGAACGTTGAATTCTCCCAAGTGTGTCTTTCTTTCTACTTCTTTCTTTCTTTCTTTCTTTCTTTCTTTCTTTCTTTCTTTCTTTCTTTCTTTCTTTCTTCTTTCTTTCTCTTTCTTCTTTCTTTCTTTCTTCTTTCTTCCTCTCTTTCTTTTTCATAGTGCTTTTAGACTTAGGGTTATTTATAACCTTTAACTAGAAATGCAGCTGGATGTGGTGGCACACGCCTGTAATTCCAGCCTTCAGGAGGCTGAGGCAGGAGGATCATTGTGAGTTCGAGATCAGCCTGGACTAGAAAGAGAACTCAAAACAAGATTGAACTGCAAACTGAAAACCCTTCTCAAAAAAAAAAAAAAAAAAAAAAAAAAAAAATTGGAAATGCAGTTAACTCTAGAATAAAGGATCTTAACACACATTCAATGGAAATCACAAGATAATTTGGTAAGATTGTTCAATATTAAATCTTGTGTCTTAGGTATATGCAGATTATTCTGCAAACAAACAGTAGAATTATACAAGTTTTAAAATTGAAATATAACTCATGTCATCAAATCTGTTCTTTTAAAGTTTATTGGTATATGTAATACATAATAATTATATATAATAATATGTAATTAATAATTACATATTAATTACATCAGGGAATTTGCATCTATATATATATATATTGTGGTTTTTTTTTTCCCCCCCTCCGGTACTGGGAACCGAACTCACGACCTTGCCCTTGCCAGGCAGACGCTTTGCCGCTGAGCTAAATCCCCAGCCCCTTATATTGCGTTTTGATAATTTTTACTTACCCTACCTACCTCCCCTCTTCCTGCTCCCAGATTCCCTTCCCATCTCCATAAAGTCTACCTTGTGTTTCCTAACATCTGTCTTTTGTTTTTTAAAGAATAAGATCCAGTGGTTTTTCATATATTTACAAAGTTAAACAACCATCACTACCATCTAATTCCAGAACATATTCACCATTCCAAAAAGAAAGTCCATAGAGGTGGGAATGTAAATTATACAGCCATTATACAAAACCAGAGAGAAGTTCTTCAAGAAATTAAAAAGATATGACTAACACATACATGATCCAACAATCCAGTTATCAGGTATATATTCAAAAGAACTGAATTCAGTATGTCCAGGACACATCTGCACTCCTGGGTTCAGAGTGACGCTATTCACAATAGAAAAGTATGGAATCAACCTAAGTGCATGCCTAGCAGGGTCTCGCTGTGCAGTTCAGGCTGATCTTGAACTCACTTTGTAGCCTAGGCTGGCCTTGAACTCACAGCAATCTTCCTGCCTCAGCCTCCCAAGTGCTGGAAATTGTTTTCTTAATGTTGTTTTTGGATTGCTCATTGTTGATATAAAAAATAAAACTGATTTTTAATATTAATCTTTGCATATTTTGTACATTAACCTGCTGAAGTTATTTATTAACAGTAATGGTGTGTGTGTATGTGTGTGTTTATGTGTCTCATAGGATCTTCTGTATAGACATGGTGTTACTTCTTCCTTTTCAACCTGGATGCCTTTTATTTCTTTTCCTTGTATTATTATGGTGGTTACTACTTCAGCCCAATATTAAATAAAAGTGGTGAAGGTTAACATCCTTTACCTGATCCTTCACTTAGGGGGAAAACATCCAGGCTTTCATGTGTAAGTATGGTGATAGCTGTGGGTAGATGTCCTTTATCAAGTTGAGAAAGGTCCCTTCTATTTCTTCCTGTGTTGAACCAGAGCTCTGAAATCTATGAGTGCTCTAAGGTTGATTTCCAGCTCCAATCCCAGAATGGAGAGAGTGTACCTTATCCTGCACTGAGCTACCCCATTGCTGATCCCCAAAGCAGCAGTTTCTGTTCTTGCTTACAGAGCATTTCAGGAAAGCATTTTCAGTCTTGCTCCCTTATCCTGGGCTGGCTTCTCATGTTGGGGCCTGCCTGGGCTCAGAGACCACTCACAGATGCCTTCCTCAGCACTGAAGCAAACACCTTCTTCCCAGTAAAAATGATTAAGATGCAGTATTTCTATTCTATTCTATTCTATTCTATTCTATTCTATTCTATTCTGTTCTGTTCTGTTCTGTTCTGTTCTGTTCTGTTCTGTTCTATTTTCTATTCTATTCTATTCTTTCATTTACCCTCTGCACTAATGAGAGACATGCATTCATTCATTCTTTATTTACTTACATATACATTTAGTGATGTCTTAATTAATTAGTTCAACAGTATCTTCACATGATAATTGAGCCTGGCCTTGGAGCTGCAGCAATGAACATCCGGGTAACAGCAATCTATTAGGGAAGGAGATGAAGGAAACACAATCACTTTCATAAAGAGGCAGAGGCTGGAAGGGAAAAGACACTATGAGGCCAAGGATGGAGAGCAGGTAATTTATTCAGTGGTGAATTCAAATCCATTTTGTGTCTTAATAGATTATTTGGATCAGGTAGTTTTCAGGAGATTTGCACCTGCAAATGTCATACAGCTCTTGGGGAGTGGGAAAAGAACTAGTCTGTCCCTCCAAGGATTATCAGACATAGTAAGGATTTTAGTCACATCCCTGGCCTACAGCCATTTCTGGGTAGTTTGGCTTGGCCACATCAGTATGTAGGAAGGAGAGGCAAGTGTATCTAGGGGTGGGATACTGTGTAGGGACCAGGCATGACAGTGTTTAGGACTCTGTGAGCTAGAAGATCATTACCCAGATCCAGAAAAATGCTGGAAGTCACTTGTTGGGAAACACAGTTTTTTAGAGATCTCTGAAATCTATGGACAGAGCATCAGATCTTGCACTGACAGCACACAGGAACACAGCAGCTGGACTGGCAGCAGGATGAACCACAACCTGAAGAGCAGCAGGGTTTGCAGCAGCTGGACTCACAGCAGCAGGGTTTGCAGCAGCTGGACTGGCAGCAGCAGGGTTTACAGCAGCTGGACTGGCTGCAGCAGGGCTTGCA